GAACTAACAATATATGTCCACTAAACAACTTAACGGCCAAGCAAGCAGATGTGCGAAAATAGATTCTTCGCTTCAGCATATTTCATGTGCAGACTTCCTTTCTCACTGATTAATAACTCGTGTCTAACCAACATGTCCTAAAAGCAAACCTTGCAATTTCTATATGAACAGTTAAAGCTTGATTTCATGAAACCCTAGTTTGGTTCAGGCTTGAGGCCTACTTCGGTTCAGCCTGCCACCTTAGAAGGAGGTGGGGGTGCTGCCTAGTGCTCTCTTCATTTACCGCTTGCCCATGAGGCCCGCTGGCTGCAGCCCTGCCTGGCTGGGTGGCTGGCCGGGAAAGCAGCAATGTGCGGTGTGTGTGTATGTGTGTGTGTGTGTATGACAGCTGCCTCGTTTCCAATGAAGGGGGTCGGGAATCCATGCAATTTCCTCCCTCTGCATAGATTCCCTACCCCCTTCATTGGAAATGAGGCAGCTGTCAAAGAGAAGAGAGCAGTGTGTGCCACGTGGGCTTGTCCAACAGCCGAAGAAGGAACAGGAGGCAAAGATTCAGCTGTTGGACAAGCCCACATGGCATGCGCTGCTCTCTTTTCTTTGACAGCCACCTTGTTTACAATGAAGGGGATGGGGAATCCATGTGATTTCCTCCCTCTGCATGGATTCCCCACCCCCTTCATTGGAAACGAAGTGGCTGTCAAAGAGAAAGGAATGCGTGCCACATGGGCTTTTTCCAATCCTCCGATCCAGCAAAGGAAGTGGGTGGGAAGTGGGTGGGAGGGGCAACTGGGTGGGTGAGTGAGCAGTAACTTGGTGGGTGGGGGGAGTGAGCAGGGGAGGTCAGAAGAACAGGTATGGGGACGCACGCTAAATTTCATCAACCAGTATGCCCATATCAGTCCATACCGGCTGAAACCCACCACTGCTAAGCTGCCACGTGGTGCCTGCCCTGTGCCCTAACTGAGCTGCCTCCTTCTCCTGCCTACATTAAGTCTCGCTACACCCCCACCATGCTTGCTGCACTCCTCCCCATCCCCACTGGGCTCACAACCTTATCTTCCCGTGCCCCTTCCAGGATCCCCAAGAGCCCCATTTTGGCTCCCAGCAGGCTTCAGGCAGGCCTGCTAGGCCCAAAATAGAGTGTGTAGGGTACCTAGCTAGCCTCCCTGCAGCCCCCTAGGAGCAAAAACGGGAGAAAGAAAACCTCACCATTTGGGGATCCCCGAGTGCATGGAGCAGAAGTCTGCAAACTTGGCAACTTTAAGACTGGTGGATTTCAACTCCCAGAATTAGCTCTGTTGGCTGGAGAATTCTGGGAGTTGAAGTCCCTAAGTCTTAAAGTTGCCAAGTTTGAAGACCTCTGCTAGCTACTATCCTTAGGCTCAGGCTAAGCTAATCAGTAGTGGATCTCTAAGAATGCCAGATGATCAATGGGCATGTTCTGTTTCAAAATGTCTGGCTTTTCTTCCTCCTATCAAAGACCTTTTGGGATTCTTCACATGAAGGGAGGGAGGGAGGGAGGGAGGGAAGAGAGAAAGAGGGAAGGGAAAGTGAATGAGGTATGAATGCATGGGTGGATAGAGGGAGGGAGGGAGAGAAAAAGGAGAGGAAAGAAGGACCACAAACCTTACACTAGACGCAGCTTCAGAGGATGCTTTGAAACAGCACAACAATCTAGGGCTGGAAGGGACCTCAGAGGTCATCTAGTCCAACACCCTGTTTCAGCAGGAGACCTTATATCATCTTGGTTATTTTGGTGCCTTTAACACATACAAGAAATTCCCAGAAATCCCCAGGCATTGCCAACCTCTCCCCTCTAGTAAAACAAACAAACAAACCCTACAGCAAAAACTTCATGCAGTATTAAAAAGAATAGAAAAGGGGCCTGCTGTGTGTTGTTTAATGGACTGCTAAATTGGCAAAATGGATGGCTCAATTGGCCATGCCCACCCAGTCACATGGCCACCAAGCCACGTCCCACCCAGTCACATGACTGCCAAGCCATGCCCATAAAATAAGCCACCCCCACAGAACCAGTAGTAAAAAAATTGAAACCCACCACTGGTTTGCAACCACACTGCTTTCCCCTGCTTTCTTACTGTACCTCTATGCTAAGTGCTTTGCCTCAATTTTCTTAGAACTTTTGGCATATTTCTCCATATACCCCAAGTTAGCAATAGACCATATACCAAAACATATTTAATGACTGCTTTTTAATTCTATCACCATCTTGTATATGTAATTGATCTTCATATTTATAATGTAAGTTCTAGAGTTTAGAACAAAGAACATTATATATGCTAACCCTAACCCTAAATCGTAGGCCAACAACATTGTTAGTGCCTACTTAGCCTGACATGTGGAACAACATTTCTAAATTAAAATATCCATTTGAGTGGTAAATGCATATTTAGGTACTTCTTTCCAGAACTCTTTTATGAAACCAAGTGCATCAAAAATGTATGGGTCTGTCAGTTATTATGGATAAAGAAGAGATTTTTCATTTGTAATGAAAAATAAATTGAAACCAGTTAACCTAATGTATTTCTTTTTGGAATTTCAGTCTTCTCCATCTGTATCACACTTTATTTTTTCCTATTGCTGAAAATCACAAAAACTTCTCAGATTTATTCACGCTGTTAGCATGCACTTAGAACATTAAGTAGTTGTTCAAATGTTGCAGAGCAGTAAAGTAATAGGATAAAATGGCATCTTCCTGTGCTTCCATTACAGTTTTAAGCACTAAAATTAATTTATTATCAGTCATCAATTCATTTAAATGCTAGTTAATGCTAAATTCCCCCTTGCAGATGCATCTGTATTCCTACATCCATTAGGCTTGAGTATAATTCAGTTTTATAATATGATCTGTTAATTACCGCTTCATTTTTTAATGAGATAAAAAAAATATCATTTAGGTCCCTTGTTTTAGAGCACAGTTATGAGCAATGAGCATCTTATTTCTACCAATTACATAGAACTTTATAGAAAATAAATGTACAAAATAACAATTAAATTGTATTATTTATCTAAACATTTCAATATTATGATTCTAATAAATTTAAAGAAAATAATTATGATATCACAGTTACTTGTCAGGGACACAAAAATGAGCTATCAGTAACACAAATATTGCATTACTAAGTTTATTCGATAATTTATTTATTTATTTAAATGATTTATATGGTCACCCAATCTGCAAATGACAACTTTGGGTGGTTAACCTAGGATTAAAAACATAGAACAAAAGAACCAACAAAGAAAAACGGGAAAGTAGCACATAACCCAGGTCGAGTCACGGTGGTAATAAAACAAACAAATGTTTTCAAAGCCTTATAAAAAGTGAAGCAAGATCAGAGTTGTCCATACCTTGGAATGTAAGCTGTTCTAAATGATTTTACACAGAACCGGGAAGATGGTTTTTGCACAATATTCATGAAACATTGCCTAAGCAAAAGAGGATGGAAGTATTTTTAAGTCCATAACAACAAAATAACATTCAGAAGTGGCTGCGGGAGATGCAGTGAATTATAAGAAGGAAGGGGGTACAGCATAAACAATGAACATAAAAAAGCAAAAAGAAACCACACATTAAGGAATCATATAAAATATCAACAAACTTAAAATGTTAAAAACCAAAAACGGATCCCATTCAATTGGACTTGAATGGAAAACTGGGGAGGGATGGAAGAGATCTTAACAGTTTTTGTAGAGAAACAAAGTTGGTCTTTATCATATATCAGGAAAGAATATTTCAGACCACAGGGACAGGCATTTCAGACCACAGGGACAGGCACTAAATATATATGATTCCTAAGTCCCATGAGATTGCAAAATTGAAAAGGGGGAACCTGGATCAATAGCAATAGCAGTTAGCAGTTAGACTTATATACCACTTCATAGGGCTTTCAGCCCTCTCTAAGCGGTTTACAGAGTCAGCATATTGCCCCCCCCAGTCTGGGTCCTCATTTCACCCACCTTGGAAGGATGGAAGGCTGAGTCAACCTTGAGCCGGTGAGATTTGAACTGCTGAACTGCAAATAACAATCAGCTGAAGTGGCCTGCAGTACTGCACCCTAACCACTGTGCCACCTCGGATCATATTTAATATAGTAAATTCTCATTTACTGACTTACTGTTCAGCAACCATTTGAAGTTATGAGGGTGCTAAAAAAACATTGAAATCATTGGCTGATCACCATTACTGTCAGGATGCTTTGTCCTGTGCATGATCCACTGTTTTGCTCCACAACCTTGCAGTTCAGAGTGATTGGAGAGGAAGGGATTACAAAGGAATAAGCAGGCACACAGTGAGGAATACACCAGACTGTTTGCATAGCATGTTCATGGCTGCTAGCAAAATGCATTGCTTTCAGTGTTAATTCCCTATTGTGTGCCTGCCTATAATTATCAATATTACTACAGAGACATAATGCATAATGAATAATAATCAGTTTTCCTGTTTTGGGGTCCAAACTGTCCAGATCAGTTTATGTCCAGTTAATAATTCCAACAATATATCATATTATAGGTATGATCCAGGTATTGATGGCTTTGATGTTGTTTCCACAATTCATTTTTGTCTGTAGCAGTTTTCTATTTCCCATTGCTATATCTGTGCTAAAAATTCTTATGGTATTTGTCAATGACTAGATTTCAATTACTGATTTTTCATAAAGCTTCAGATCATCCACATAAAGGAAATGTGAAATTTTATTAGCATTTGTTCTTTGATAGCCAATTTTTTGTCTTCAAAATCACTGAAAATGGGATAATTGCAATGATAAATAAGAAACGATAATGAATTGCCCTGAAAAATGCCTCTCCTAATGTTGACAACTCCATATTTTTCATTTCCAATAATAAATTATATCTTTGACTGCTTCATTATTTTTTCTATAAACGTTCTAAAGTTTTTACTGATACCAGTTGTTTCCAAACTTTTGATGATCCAACTTTGTGGTAATGAATCAAATAGCTTTTTATAATCAAGCCAGATATATGTCAATTGATTTTTCCAAACCATTTTATAAATCAACACTTGACCTTTTGTACGTCCACTTCTTCTATTATTTCTTTTCTGTTCTACTGGAATGATGCTGTTTTCTTCCAAATAATCTTGCTTGTTCTCTGCTATTTATACCTTTGAATAATTTGAGTATTGTAGGCAAGCATGCTATTGGCATTATTAATACATGGTTCATTACGCCGTTAGCCTGATGCAGTGCAAAAGTTTGAAAGTTTCTCAGAAAATGAAATGCTGCCCTTGTTACCTTTCTGGTAGTTCTTCCTATAAAGCAACATGGTAAATAAAAATATTTTAAGAATGTTTTCCTTTTTTATTTTAGGCAAACCACATTCCGCTTCTCAGAAACTTCACCCAACCAGCCCATTTTCTACTGATAGCAATACTAGCATAATCCAGAATCAGAGTCAAAGGCCTAGGCCTAACCCTACCAAAAAACAGCCATCCTTGCCTCATCGTAGAGAAGGCATGGCAGATGGTAAGTTCCCTGGTTTAAAACTATTTCAGTGGCATGTGAAAAATAAATCGATTGTTTTTGTTACAAATGTTTATTAAAATACAATTAGTCATATAATTGTATGTTTTCAACTTTGTTCAATATCAGAAAATAACAAATTAAGATTGGGCTTGGTATGTAAAAATTGTTCTATTGCAAACTTCGGAACAATATCCAGGCTTTAGGTAGAACTGTTATTTATTCATGTATACATTTAAAACTTAAGGCCATTGAAAAGCTAAGTTTTAAGTCAACTGTTTCTTTTATATTGTGTTCTTTCTGTCACACAAATACAGTCAATATGTTCTCTGTGTTTCAGATCTGCCCCTATAAAGCTTACTTGGTCAATGAAAGCTGAATATCCTCTTTAATTCTATACATTTAGAGATTATATCATATTCTCAGATTTTTGAAAGGCACTTGCCTTTTTAAAAAGCCATGTACTATAATTGTATATGCATATGAAAGAGACTTTGGCCACTTATTATATGTATTTTACATTAAGGCTTGCATGCTTTTGTAAGAAATCCAAGAGGTATTTGGTGCATAATTACCAGCACTCTACAACGTTGCTTTATAAACCTTGAGTGCAGCTAAAACTTGCAAAGCCTCACATACACAGATACACTTCTCTGCATCTCAACAAATTAGCCTAATCCTTTCAATATTAAATTATTGACTAAACTTAATATGATTGCTTTTATATCAATTTTTCATTATATCATTCATACCTATAAAGAAAAAAGTTTCAACAGTTTTTATTTGTCTTGATCCATATAATGGTAGAGGCTATATCTTCGAGCAAATAGGTATAATTCTGGCTTTGTCCAACATTATATCAGAAAAGAACTGGTTGCTGAAAGTCAAGCTCCTTTGTAGACTAACCAGCATTTCTAACACATGCTCATTGTCATTTTTGTCATTATATACGTTAATGAAGATGTTTTAACAGATTGTGTGTGATTAGTGCATATTTTTCTTAATAATACTATAAACTATTTTTAGTAGACAGGCTATATAATGGAAATGTTCTTCATGAGAAAACAACAATGGTTGTTTCAAGGGCTAAAAGCCATGGTGGTGCAGTGGTTAGAATGCAGTACTGCAAGCTATTTCTGCTGACCTGCTGCTAGTTGTTAGGCAGTTTGATTCAAGGTTAACTCAGCCTTCCATCCATCCAAGGTCAGTAAAATGTGGACCCAGATTGTTGTTGGGGGCAATATGCTGACTCTGTAAACAGCTTATAGAGGGCTGTAAAGCACTATGAAGTGGCATATAAGTCCAAGTGCTATTGCCATTACTAAAGGCTACATTCTAAATTTTTTAAAAATTAACTTAAAGAAGTTCATGAAGTGAGAATTCTAACTATCCCACTTAACCTCCCACAGCTCCATTTATTGCTTGGTTGATGTGTTGAATAGAATAAAGAGAGACCAAAGGGAAGCCGAAAAGGGAGAATTATTTTTTTCAAAGAATGTCCAAATACTTACACTGACCACAGAGATTGCCTTAACTGAAAACATTACTATAAAAGTTCCATTTTACAGGTTTATTTGTTTTTGTTTTAAAAAAAGAAAAGGCTCCTCTGGGATATTGGGTCTTCCTGAATGTGTAGATAGTTTGGCAACAATTAGGGATGGTCCTCCACTAGTTTTTTTCTGTTTTTTTTTCTTTTTGCGGGAGAGAGATTGTCCTGCAGTCCTGAGATTTCTTGGAGATCAGAAGCAAATATCCAGTCTGCTTAGTTTTATCAAACTCAGCTAACATTAACTAGGTGCTTTTATAGGTTTTGCAAATGTGTAATAAGAAATATAGATTATATCGGCCAACTAAAATTGTTTTTCTGATAAAATACATCACCTGACTAAAAGCAGTAAATATATATAAAGCTTATAATTTTAATAGACAATATTAATAAAGCCCTTCATTTTTTGTTATATAGTTTAAAATATTTCAGTGAATTTTATAAAATTATTTACATTTTTTTAGATCTTCCACCACCACCAGACCCACCTCCTGGTCAGGGAATAAGGCAACAGATAGGTACTGGCCAACGTGGGGGTTCAACAGAAAGAAAAGGAAGCTCTTTAGAGCGACAGCATACAACCAACATAGATGAAACAAAGAGTTCTTTGGATCGGCAAGCTAGAACTTCACTAGAGTGGCAACGGCAAACCCAGGATTGGCTAACCTCCACAGAACTTCAAGGCCAGCAAAAGCAAGCCTTTGGATCAGGTGTGTAATTGTACATTTCAGGGCAGCTTAGGCAATTCCTTAAACCTGTTATAATGTACTATTAATTTGCTTACAAATGGTGAAGGTCAAGGCTTACGTAGCAACAAAGGATGTCAATTGGCATTTGACATCCATTGTTATTTATTCTTGCAATGGTGAAGTATTGAATGCATCTAACTGCTAACATTCTGGTTGCATGCTTTCTTTTAGGAATTAATAATGCCATTATTCTATGTACCTGAAGCATTTATTTATTATCTGAATAATTATATTTAAAGCATATATTTGTTGTGCTTTTTAAGCCACTGATCTAGAATTTTTCTATGCTTAGTCCACTAAATATCCTCATGTTCATTAACAAACATTGATTCATATATAATTCAGATAATTCAGAACAGATTTCAATTATGAACTATGAACTAAATATTTAAATATTGCTTTACCACCATCTTGTTTGTTTTCTACTGGAATCAATAGAATTTAAATGTATTAATCTTAGTGGAATTTTATTTCTAGGTGATATGTTTTCTCCAATAATTTTATTAAGTATTATATTAAATATATAAATCTAATATAAGAACTTAAGGCAAAAATAGATTGCAAAAGAAACAGAAATATTTAAGTTTAGAAAAAGAATCAACTACCAAGAAAGAAGTAGTAAGAAAAAGAAATTTCCACCTTAATCCCTAGCAAGTATATTCATCATTAACAACTTATCATTGTCTCTTAAAATACTACCAAATGCATTTTCATCCTACAACTCATTCTATTTTTGTAAATTCATCTCTACATCTTCAACATTCCTTATTAATCAGCAGGGGTCTAGTAAGAAAGAAAGAAAACCCAAGAACATAATTATATAGTACTCCTTTCCATTTAATCAAAATACCCTTTATCTTCCCTTAGTAATCAAACTGTAATCCAAATTAACAAATATTACAAAAATTAAGAATTATATCAAAAATAATAATATTCATTCAAGATAATGCTGGAGCCCATCCTTAGGGAACTTTTCTCTAGCAGTTTTTATTTTTATTTCTTCTCTTGGAAATTTTGTCATCTTTATCCAAGTCCATGGATAAAGTCCTGGTCAAGCAGAGAACCTATACTGTTTTAGATAAGTGACTGTCTAGTCTCTTCTTAAAAATCTCCAGTGAAAGAGCACCAACGATTCCTGAAGGCAAGCTATTCCACTGCTTAATTGTCCTCAGTATTAGGAAGTTTCTCCTTAATTCCAGATTGCTTCTGTCTTTGGTTAATTTCTCATTAATATCTGCTTTTGATTCCTGTATAGAATCAAAAAGTCATGCATTTCTTAAACCCAAGAAGCAAATATTTCTTTTAAACTATAACCCTCACCACACCCCCGCACACACACAAAATAAAGATTTTATAAAGCTGAAAACACATGATTTTCTTTCTTTTTAAATAGATTAAAGAGAGATTCACAAAGTGACTGGTAAAGTTGCTGTTCCAAAGATTTTTAAATCTTAAAGGAACAATAAAATAAAATAAAAGTCTGAAGTGATTAAAAATGTGACATTGGTCGAACCTTAAGACCAGGAAAGGCTGCATTTATAGCTCAGAGCACAGTGGAACCCATGTGTCCCAGCTGACTGCAATCGGCTGCAAAAACATCAGTCCCTGACATCTACTCATAAAAACAGGTCTCCAAAATACGAATGGTTATTCACAACATGTTCCAAAGAGAATTTCAGGAATCTAGATCTAACATGCAGCAGCTTTTTAGGCTGTAATCTTTCCTGCACTCTGCAAAGCAAAGAAAAATGTTGGACATTGGTTCACTTTTCCTCACCAGAAGCCTGGGGTTTTATTTTTAAATTGTAACAGATTCTATAGACATATGTTAAGAAACATTGACTGTGATCTTCTAACAGAGCTCAATATTAAAGCAAAGGAAATGTTTATTGGTAACATTTTAGTTTTTGTATATGTCAATCAAATAATTTACCAAGTACTAAATATCTTTGGAAATAATACCAAGTAAGTAATTAAAAATATGCTGATTGTACAGTTTTTTTATCTTAGTTAATTTTTTATCATAATTCTAGCAGTGAAAAAAAGCATTTTTGTACACTGAGCAACAATAGTTACTCAGTAATCAACTATTATCTCTGCAAATTGTGCATTTTTTCTATTTATTTAAGGCAGCATGTTTTGTTTTCATTATGAGCAGTTTAATTTTAGTATGAATATATTACTGTGTTCCTTTGAGCAAAATGTAACTCTTAATTACTGCCTGAACTAATCCTTGATATTTCCTTGGCAAGAGTTTTTTCAGAAGAGGGTTATATCTGCTGGAGAGCAAATAGTCCAAGGTGACCCAGCTGGCTTTGAACCTAAGCAAGTCTAGAATGCATGCCACTCATATTTCTAGGCCAGTGCCTTAACTAATACACTAAACAGGCTTATTTTAGCAAAAGGGATGCATATTTTTCTCCTTCCACATATTTAGTTATTTTAAAGTATCAGGCAAGTCTATTAAATTCATTTGTACATTTAGCTGTTTTGAATGATATATATGTATATACATTTCCAATTCCAAAAACCTAGTACTTTCTCAATTTTTTGAAACTGAATGTAAGATTTCATATGCATAGGTGACTCTATTAATTCCTAATATACAAGCCAATTTCAAAATTTGTATGTGTGAATCACACTGTATTCAAATTCTTCTCCTTGTGTTTTCAGAAGAGACATTGGTGCCATATAGCAAGCCTAGCTTCCCATCCCCAGGTGGTCACAGCTCTTCAGGTACAGCATCTTCTAAAGGATCAACTGGACCCAAAAAAGTAGATGTCATGAAAGGAGGTCATCAGCGCAACATGAGCGACCTCATTGATGTAGGATATATTGGATTAAACAGTCAAGGACAGTTTTCTGATGAATTATGTAAGATTATTTTGCAATCAAGCAAATAAAAATGTTTAAAATTAGAATAGAAGGAAAACATTTACTCTTCTGTGTTAGTGGATAGTCATGGGAAAACTATCGTTAGCAACATATCAATCTATAATATGATGTAACATGTTTTATATGTTTAATAATGTAAATAACAATATTATGAATTTAATTTATACACATTATTTTCTATCTAAATGTTAGTATAAATAGTAATGTGCCATATTTCTCGGTCAGTGAATGTTCTTGTTTAGTTTTCTTGGGTTTGTAGGGCACAGTGTTTCATAAAACTGTATTATAGCCTTGTTGTTATATAAGCAAGAAACAAACCAGTATGTAGGAAAAATGAAAAGCCAAAAATGCAAGCAGACAATACAAGTTAACTTTCTATAAATTTATAACAGATAACCAAGGAAAATAACAGCTTCCACTAATGTTGTGACTTTTAGTACAGGAAGCTCCCTCTATATAACATAATTGTTTAGATTCTTAGATTCAATCTTCCAGGCCTTTTTTTCATTAGTTAAAATTATTGAAAATAAAATAAAACACACAAAAATATACTGATAGCTTAATTGATACACTTATTTTCTTTCTTCTAAATCTTTTTTAATTCCATATGGTTTTGCTATGTTTAATATAAATTTAATATAATTTAATATTAATATAAAAAGTAATTATTCTCCTCATTTTCTTACATATATACATTTTAAATATATAATATGCATGACAGAGAAGATGGTCATCTAGGAAGGAAGAAGAAAACACTTTAATCATTTTCTCTAAGTATTTAACATTTCTGAACAGTAAACTTTTATCAACAGTAGAAAACTACTGCTTACAGCATATAATTTATATTCCATGGTAAAGGGTTACACACACACACACAAATCTAAAGATATGGGAGGAATTTGCTCCCTTTAATTTGCTCTCTCCCTTATTTTTTATCAAAATAGAATATTTATATAGGATATATAAATTAATAAACCTAAAAGCTTGTGGGCATATACCAAAATGTGAACTTTTGATAATATTACAATATACTTAGTAACAATGAAGAAAAAAGCTTTCAAATGTGCAAATGGGAAATGCACTTATAGTTTTGTGCAATAGAGAACAGACTAGACATAATTGCATTTTCCTAATTTATGTGTAGAGAAAATGTATACAGCCTGAAAGAAAAAACACAAAATACTGATAATAATAAGGGGTACTTTATTTTGTCCGTAAATGATTCAACTGAATGAACTTTTTGAAACTCATGAATGACGATGTAAAAAAATGTCTATTTCAGTCCTACATATAAGAACCGTAATATTTTGGGGATAGGATCACAGTTGCTCTCTTATAGGATATTTTCTCTCTCATTATAAAACTTTGAACTGTATAAAATAACACTGGAAATGTGAAGTAATATAGCTCGGATGCATATTACATGTAAATTTCATACAATTGGGTCATAATTATTCAATTATTATTATACAAATTAGGCTAATTTATTTTCCTCAGTTAAAAATCTATTTTAATAATAGTTTTGCTCTACTTCCATGCCTCTTTTTTCCAGAAATTTGAAATATTAAGAAATATGCAGAGGTGTTAGATTGTCCAAAGTTTTTACTCTTATTAAATTACAATTACTTCTCCCAATATTAATTTCAAGTATCAAAATATTGTAATATTTTTAATTCACATGCATTAAGTTTAAAATGTTATTTTAATCTATATTTTTGATCTATATATGCTTAAATCATAAAACAAATGCATAAATCTTTAAAGTGTCTTAAAACATTATCTCGTTCTTGTTTTTTTTTTGTTTAACAGAGTAGTTGAAAAGAAACGTCTCCAGCTGCTTTCAAGGCCATCAAGTTTCAACTCATGGAAGTGATGACACTAAACAGTGCAATGAACATTTTCTTTATTTATGTACTTACTATTAAAGGAACTGTAAATGCAATGTAAAGAAACACAGCCACACATATCCCGCAGATACTCAATCATGTTCTTCTTTTACACCTTTCACTTTTAACTCTTTCTTATTAAGCATATATACCAGGAAAAAAATCATCCTGCAGGATGAAATAAATTTCCCTTGTACATAATTTCTTTTTATTGCATTGCTATGCAAACTCACCTTCATTTAGCTATGTTTATATTATTGTCTGTCCTTCTTGGTCTGTTGTACTATATGTGAATTAATAGGCTGTGGTGCCATATAATAACTTTTAATTGTGTAACATTTTATGTTTGAAGTTTGCACTGCAATTTTTGTTGGTGATAAGCACAAAACGTTTATGCCTCGTGTCATGAAGAAGAAGAAGAAGATTGAATGTGAAAGGAGTCTATGTACTGTAAGCTATGTTGGATAATGCTGGATGTAATGAACTATGTTAGGTGGTTTGCCATTTGGGTGTAGAATTAGGAAGATGACTGGCAAAACTGATGTTAGCAAGCGTTGATTGGGACATCAGGAATGGAATACCATCTGAAATAGCAAGCAATGTTGCTTTTATCATTAAAAGAAAAAGGTCAAATGATGGAAGTATCAGTTTCAAGATCAGATTAGAACATGAAAGCCTCCTATCTTCTTAGTATCAGTTTTTCATTTATTCAGTACAGTCGCACTCACTACAAAGGAAAGAAGTTAAGATGTTTCACTAAAGCTGTTTTATACTACTTTTTATTTTAGAAAAGAGTATTATAATTGATTTGCTCTTCCATCTGGTTAGAGATCCAGTATGAACCATATGAAGGTAGAGAAATACTTAGCAAGACTTAAAAGATGCAATTATCTTTGAGATATCCAAGCTGCTTCCAAAAATCTACAGTATTCATCTTTTCAATACGTGCAGTAAAGATGAAGATGTAGAGCTATGTCACTTGAAATCCATGATCTAATTTTTCTTATGCAACTAACACATAGTTTTACTGTATTATTATCTGAAACTGTAAGACATTTAAACCCAATTCATTTGTATTTAAATCTTGGGTTACAGTAATTGAAAAGAAAGATATGGCATATTCATGCTCAGTTTTAAATCAAGGTGTTTCTTTTTACCAATTCACTACATTACAGGAAACTGGTTTCAACAAAGAAAAGAAGACATCTTTGACCTATTTTTGATGACTAAATTTCAAGCCTCTTCTTACAAAAACAATGCATGTTTATACACTTTTTAAATAAACCAAACTTGCTGTAAGTGGACATTAACAAAAGCATCCTGTCATCATTAATTTTCATGACTTTCTCCAGCTACTTGCCAGTTTTTCACATCTTTGTTAGAAATATTATACATGTATTCCAATGCATTAAATATTTTATTTGAAGTTTACATCAAAAAGCTTACCTTATTCATTCATATCACTATTACAAACATTCATATATGCAGTTAGTTCCTATTGTTTATACTTTGCCTTGATTATTATATTATTGTTAAACAAAACACTTCTTGATTAGAAATATGCATTCTTTTTCATTACATTACTTGAAGAATATGATAAACTAAAATGTTTTTAGTATAAATGGTAAATCAATATTGCAATTATTATTTCTTTTTATTTTAATTTAGTTCAAAATATTGGCAAACCATAAACAAAGAAAGATGCATTGATTCAGAAGGCATGGAAATATGTAAAATGCTCAATAATTGAAATATTGGCCAGACATAGAACATTCATAAATGTAAAAAAAAAAACATTTTTCTATCCTGAATTCTGTATATTAAAATTGAATATATATATGCTAGTATAAGTAGAATGGATACAAAAAAATCTTCATATAGTTTCATATAGTGATACAAAAAGCTGCTTTGAAGAAGAAAATAACTCATTCTACTTATAGCCTACCAAAAATCATGATACAGCTATGTCTGGTTTGGAGCAATTTTTATGTACCTGTAGGCAGGGACTTTTCAATTAAAGACTTCACAGCACCAATCATTTAAAAGTGACAAAGGATATTGAATTCGTATCATACATCACCTTAATTCTTACACATTCCTTTCTTACTGTGAAATACTGGACTTGTGGTGTACTGGTGTACTAATAGCTAGGATATGGGACACAAGTCCATTGCACAAAAACATGTAGCTACCAAAAGTCTTTTACAAGATTTGACATAACCCATGTATTCAAATGTCAAGTAGTCTTTGCCAATATTATCTGTGAACCCCTATAATGTTAGTACTTAGGCACCAAATCTCATGAGTTTTCTTGTGAGAAAGTCACATTGCCAACAAGGTTTTTTCCCCTTAACCTCAACTTGAGAGATTTCTATGACTTAAACAGGCTTCAAGTTACAATCAGAATGTATTTGCCTTGATTCTTGTCGCAACATGCAGTTTTATAACTGAAAACTTGTGTAACTTTTTTTAATTCACAGAGTGACTGCAACTAACATCTAGGAAAAAGTAGGTATGTATTGAAATTACAGGAAAATCCAATTTGTAGAAATTCAGTATGCACATTGGTGCATAACTGTTTACAAGACAATTTTTGTATTTTGGACAGTTCTGGCACTATACATTTGAAATCCTATTCCAAAAGAAAATATAAATCAGAATTTAAATAAATGTCCAACATTCACACTTAAATTATCATGGATTGGATTTAAATTTCATTTACATATTACAGTAGAATTGTAGCCATTTCAATAGTTAGATCCATGGTATTAACACTAGTATTTATCCTTTCTGTCCTATTTGAAGTTAATAATTCCATGGCTATTATCATGCATTTTCATTCCAATCTTATTATGTAGCATGCTAACAGTACTGAATATGCTCAAATATATTCCTCTTGCTAAATTGAGTAAGCTACAAAAGTGGCTTCAAGCATACATTTCCAAGTACTGTTAAAAAAGCAGACTTAATGGCTTATCCTATGTGCAATATGTAAATGATAGAGCCTTCAGAAATCTATTCAAGATAATGTGATATATCACAAGTTTTCAAGATGCAACATAAATTTAAAGGAATATAACAGTATTTGATATTGTTATATTTGATAGCTGACTGTTTATACCTTGAGTTTTATATAGTATGATCATCTTAAGTATTTTAATTGGTTTTTAAAAACGTGTTGAGCTTTGGTGGAACACCTTATTGGCCAATTTTTCTTCACAATACAATGAACAAAAGTAGCCATCCCACACTCTTAGTTAAATGTCTTGATTTTTTTTTAGTTCCAATTTTGTATCAATAAAAAACAATCAGTTAAAAATATGTAGTGCTATAATATCAGTCTATCTTCACTATTATAGAATTTTATTTACATCATTCTTAGGATGCTTTAAAAAAAATTAATGTTTAACAGATGATATTATTTTATATCTTCTTTCTCTCCCTATTTCTCATTATGTAGTGAACTTCAAATAATCACAGAACCTATTTTTTAAAATGTGTGATTTGCCTTTTTTCTTTTTTATAATTGAAGGAAACTTTTTTATAATTGAAAATATTTCTTATTCATAATGTGTCTAAAGAAAAGGAATGTGGTGGCAGCTCTATAAACTGTTTTCTAATTTTTTTATATAAAATGATTCAGTTACAACAGTTTTTTCAGTCACATACACACAAAGAAGATGACCTCTTAATGTGTTTCATGTGTTAGTGAAGCAAAGTTTAATAGGCATAAAGTTGGTTAATCGTAATGTTAAGTGTGTATTGTATATCTACTGGGGAAAATAAACTTCCACATTTCAAAAGAAATTAAAGAAATTTTATTTAATACTCTCAATATATGACTGCATGAACATAACATTGCAACTTTATTCCTAAGATGTTCTGTTGTATTTTTTCGTATATATATCCCCCTCTTCCCATTCACACACACACACATTTTATATTCTTAACTGATTTGGAGGAAGGAAGGAAAAAAATACTTCTGAGGAAAAAATGGAAAATAGGGGGAAAAAACTTCAACAAAGGAAAAAAGTGTAAAAAGGCAGTATGAACAAGCTAGAAACCTTGAATGTATTCTTCTGTTTTAGTATATTAGTTATTGACGTATACCTTCTATTATGCATTAATTAGAATCGCACACTGAAAGCACCAATATCACACAATAGGAAAGGAGTGACAAAATAAGATAATGTGAAGGACTCAAATTCTCCCTTTTATCTCTTCTGTAACTCATTTACCCAAGGCATTTTAAGGGAAATGAATATTATAACTAGTTGGCTTCATTAACTTTCAGAAGTTCCTATAAATTGCTGGTGACATTTGTTCTAAGTAGGTACAGACAGAGCAGGGGAAATTGGCTCTCTGTACTGATTCTGTCTATCCATGGTTACAATTTTGTGGGAGTAGGTACCCAATATTCTCCATATTACAAATAAACTTTACCAGCACAATTGAGAACGATTGGTTTGGGAGCAGGAGGAAAGGAATAATGCTATTCTTTAACATATAGTAAGTATCTCCATCAAAAATAACAGGTTGTAATTATATAGTAACTGCAGTTGTATCTGGTAAAATTGGTAAGTGGCATGGTTATTAAGAGAACCATGTGATGGTGAGAGAAAGACAGACTATGAAGACTGCTATGAAAATTGACTACGGATCCCATCAGTTAATGAATTTAACTGTCAGGGTACAGGAAGACAGCTTTCTCTGCCACTGTCCCTGTCCTCTGGAGTATCCTTTTTCCAAATGTGAGGCAGATCCCCACTTTCCTGGCCTTTTCAAAGACTTTGAAGACCTGTCTCTCCCAATTCTCATGGGTCTTACAGAGTAGTAGGCAACCTTTGTGATGATTAGTGCTTTGAAGCCCCTTCCCATTCCTTTAACTTACTCTTGTTTTTATCTTTCTCTTTATATCAATGTATTACATTTTATATGCTTTTTATATTTTAGAATAAAGAGTCATTTTGAAAGTGAGATGGGCTATATCTAAATTTGATAAATGAATCTACTAAATAAATAAAAGTATAAGGTAGCTCTAGCAGCCTTGCCTGGTGAAGGCATTCCTAGCATTCATGTGCAAATTATTATAGGGAGTAATATAATAAAAACAGGTTTTTTTAAACAAAAAAAGATGTAATACTGCTATCGGTAAATCCAGTTAAAAACCTGTAATCCAGTGGTGAGCTAGCAACCCAAAATTGGTCATCTTGACTAATTTATCCACTTTAAGTTGAACTTCTATGAAGCGCAGGACTAGTACACTTTTGAAACAGGGCTAATTGTATCTTTACTAAAAACTCTCTGAAGATTAGACAAGTACATCAATAATGACTGGTTAGTCATTACACAGAACAGCATAACAGAATTGGAAGGGACCTTGGAGGTTTTCTAGTCCAACCCTTTGCTCAAGCAGAAAACCTTGTACCATTTCAGACAAATGGTTGTCCAATCTCTCTTTAAAAACTTCCACAATTTCTGGAGGCAAGTCATTCCACTTGTTAATTGTTCTATCAGGACATTTCTTCTAGTTCTAGACTGCTTCTCTCCTTGATTCTTGTCCTGTCTTCAGGTGATTTGGAAAATAGGTTGACCTTGTCCTTTTTTTTTTTTTTTTGCAGCCCCTTGGATATTGGAGTACTACTATCATATCAACCCTAGTTCTTTTTATTAAATTAGATATACCCAATTCCTGCAACCATTCTTTGTATGTTTTATACTGCAGTCACCTTTGTTGCTCTTCTCTGCACTCTTCCTAGATCTCAACATCTTTTTTATATCGTAGCGACCAAAGCTGAATGCGATTTTCCAAGTGTGGTCTTACCGAGGTGTTATAAAGTGGTACTAACACTTCATGTGTTCTTGATTCTATTCCTCTGTTAATGCAGCCTAGGACTGTGTTGGCTTTTTTTAAGCAACTACAGCACACTATTGGTTTATATTTAAGTCCACTAGGACTCCAAGATCTCTCTCTCAGTTACGACTATACAAAGTAGTGCATTTGCAAAAGTCAAGTGGCTTTTCCTGCAGCCTAAAGTAAAATGGCCAAGGAAGTGGTACCCAGCAAATGGAGATATTTAAGTGGCTCTCCAGCAGCCTCTGGTGCCCAGTAGGAACTGGGATGCTACCAGTTCTGGCCATATCACCAGCCATGTGGCCAATGAAACACAGTAAATTGCACCTTTGGTCAAACAAAAAAGCATCAGAAGAAAGAAATGTTTCTTTAAAACTGGCCCAAATAAGGAAAACTTTAAGTCAACTCAGGTATGAAGAGAAGTCAGTGTCATTAGATGATGCTGGAGGATATAAGAAGAATGCTATTAGAATGATTTAATGTTATGGAATCCTAGGCCAATTTCCCCAAATTAGGCTTTTCTATTTCAACTCTCCTATTTCACTCTCTAGGTTTGGAGATTATTACTAGATTCATACATGATTTTAGGGTATGTTTTATCTAATAATTGCCTACTGAATAAAACAGCTGTGAAAGAACATTTTACTTAGCGAGTGGAGTCAACTATAGCATGCAAGCCAAAATTAGTTTCCAGAAACCATCAGTGCTGTTTTTCCCCATTTCATTTAAAGATAAGGACTAAGCAACTTCCAGTAAATGGGTAAAATATTTATAGGATCTGAAAAGAGAGCAGAGTATGACGACTTGTAATACACAGTAGAAAATAAAGCTTTATCCCTTTGGGGGTACATCCTATGACCATTATATTTTTTTTAAAGATGCATCCTTTAAGTGGAAAAGACATATGCCTGAGTACTAAGGCGGAAACCCTGGTTCACCAATTCCAAATGATAAGCATATATGACCCTGAGGTTTTTATAAAAACAAAACCACTGCATGAGAAAAGCCCTCCCCCATTCTCTGCAAGGGAAACAGATCTGGAAGAAACAGTCAAGGGAGTTCAATATCTCATATAAACACATACAAATAACACCAATTACACATGTTATGTAAGTGCAAAAGTGAGCCTTATACTAACTGCACTTTTCCTCCAAAATAAGGAATTATTACTTATGTCCAAATATGCTCCTAACAACTTGGTCACATTACTATATGGATTCCTAGTAAATTTGAGGGACTATTTCTCTCAGATCATATCTCCCCATCACATCAAGTTATGTCTTCCCAGCCCTACAATTATTAGGGAACATCATCTGGCAGGGCTCAGAGAAAGATTTTTCTGTCATGGTGCCTGCCTTTACAGCATCATCCTCTCCCACCCCCCACCTCCCCAAGAGATTGGATTAGGCCCAAATGTGCTGGCTTTTTGCAAGGCTTTAAACATATGGTTTTGTCACTGCCTTGAGGATGCAGATGGGTGGCCAAGCGCAGGAGGTGTTAATCTGATGGAGTTTGGTTTTTTTAACCTCGGCTGTTGATTATATTAGCACAGGTTTTTATATTGTTCTGTATTTTTCTATAGTTTTCAATTGTTAACCATCCAGAGTCATGAATTTGAGATGGCAGCCAGATGTCATGATTAAATGCCTGATTAAGTATGAACTGTCTTAGAACCATTTGATTTTACTATATGGATACTTAGATTGCGTATCTAGACAGATAATTGTATCAAATTATAATAACTTACTTTTATTTTGAGTAGAAGCATAGTTTTTCACCATAACGTTGTTATTTACCCCATGCCTACAAAGAGATCTGAATAAAATCTCCATAAAGGCAATTTTTAAAACTCCAAGCAAAGGGCAATTGGGAAGTATTTCTTTAAATATTTGTTACATTTTTGTTTTCTTAAACATCAAAGGAATAGCCAAGGGTGTTCTTATCTGGTTTCTGTCACAGCTCCATTCAGTTTCCAAAGCTTTTCATTATCTACACAAAACCACTGAGAAATATACAGCAATCAAGAAATTTTGGAGGTCGGTGTTGCCAAGATGCTGACAGTGCCCAAGTTTATCTCCCTGTAAAATTTTCATGTACACTGGCAACCTTGAATGCCTATTTGAAATTATTAATGAGATGAATAAGGGATAAATTGAAACTATTACATAGGAATATAAAATGTTATTTACCATGTGCTAGAAGGCAAAATGTACACATAACTATCCTTTTCAACAATCTTCTAAAATCACCAGCACTTCAATATTTTTACAATCCTGAAATTGTTTTAGTTCTAATCTTTTCCTCAAAATGTCTGACAGTTATGAACTGTCCTATAAACATTGTTTATTCCAGAGTAGCAGATTCCCCACCCCCTACACACACAGGCAAATTCCTGTTCCTAAGATATTAACCCTCCGAAAGGATTAACATTTTCCTTACTGAAAATTGGGAATTAAGTCCACACTTTATAGAATATAGGCATATAGATCTAGCTCTGGTGATAAAATTTGATGTCAAAAATACAGCTGAGCAAATACAAATGTACTTTTCAAATAGACAGCTATTTGAAGTTAAAACTGCCAAAACATCTTAAGTGAGTGAGATTCGAACAGTTCGACACAATGGTCAGATATTCCCTACAATGAGCATCTCTGCATTTGTGGAGCGGCAGAGGTAGAAGACCTGGCTCACATCCTATTTGACTGTTGCTTTTATAAGGGGGTGAGAGACAGGTGCCTTGGTCTATATACCAAATGAATGACCCATTGGGATCCCCATATCAAAACAACTTATCTTATGTGCAGCAAAAATTTGAAAATAAC